GGGGTTTCATCCGGTTATGATTAAGTGGATTAGGGAGATGGTGTCCACTACTTCCTATTCACTTGCGATTAATGGTGAATCTTATGGTTTTTTTCATGGTGGACGGGGTCTTAGGCAAGGTGATCCGTTATCTCCATATCTGTTCACGATTGTTATGGAGGGATTTTCTATGCTCCTTAAGAATTGTATCAAGGAGGCTTCTGATTTTGAGTATCATCGTGGTTGTGAGGAACTGGACATCACTCATCTATGCTTTGCTGATGATTTATTTGTTTTTACTAAAGGTGATGTTCATTCGGTGGAGGTTCTTAAAAAAGCTCTTTTTCTCTTTCAACAACGTTCAGGTTTGGAACCCAGCCTTGAAAAGAGTGATATTTATTTTGGAAATGTGCCCCAGTCCATTAAAGAGGCCGTTTTGGAATGCCTTCGATTTAAACTTGGATCTTTTCTTGAGAGTTATCTGGGAGTTCCTTTATCTCATGCTCGTTTGAAAATTAGTGATTATAGGCCTTTGATTGCTAAGGTTAAAGGTCGTATTTTTAATTGGAAGTCTAAGTTTCTTTCATTCGGAGGACGTAGACTACTAATTATAGCGGTCCTTCAATTTCAGTTGCATTGGATGTCTGTTTTCCTATTTCCGTCGGGTGTCATTCATGATATAGAATCGATATTCCGGAAATTTTTATGGGCACCAAGGGATGATCCTCGTGGGCGGTGTAGATTATCTTGGGAAGTGCTGTGTCGTCCTCTTGAATCGGGGGGTCTTGGTATTAAACGGTTGGCGACTTGGAACAGGGCTTTACTTGCGAAACACGTTTGGGATATTGTTCGCCGTCATAATTCTTTGTGGGTTCGGTGGATTTATAGTGATAATCTTCGAACTAATCACTTCTGGTTGGTAAGGAAAAATTCTACTTGGTCGTGGGTTTTCCGTAAATTGTTAGACATACGACTTCATTTGCGACAGTATTTTGTGTCTCAAATTGGTGATGGTCGGGATACTAATGCATGGGAGGATTCTTGGCTTCCATGTGGTCCTCTTTCGGCTTTTATGACTTATCGGTTCATCTATTCTTGTGGTTTTTCTCCTGCAACTACGGCACATGAGCTTGTCATGAGTTTGAATGGAGATTGGCCTAAAGATTGGTGTGCTAGGTTTGATGTGCTTAATTCTTGTCCTTTGCCTTCATTAAATGATTCTATTCGGGATCATGTTCTTTGGGGGGATGATTGTACTTCTTGTTCGAGATTTGAAGTTAGAAATGCTTGGGTATCGTTGGAGGGTTCTTATCCGGTTGTACCTTGGTATAAATCGGTGTGGTTCACTGGTCATATTCGTAAACATGCATTTGGTTTATGGCTTGCTTGCCAGAGGCGTCTTCCTACTCAAGACCGTTTACTTTGGAAGGATGAACCTCCTGACCTAGAGTGCTCGCTTTGTGGTCAGAGTGGGGATAGCCATGCACATTTATTTTTCCAATGTACTTTTGCTCGTGAAGTTTGGGATAACGTCTTGCGTATTGTTGATTTAACTAATATGCCTTATGTGTGGGATCAAATTTTGGAAACTATTTCGGATTCTAATCTTCGTCCAAAGCGGTTAAAGCAGAAACTTGGGGTAGCGGCTTCTGTCTATTTCATTTGGCAAGAACGGAATCGAAGACTTTTTACTGGGGATCGTCGTAATGCCATGCAGATTATTCAAGTCATTGTTCAGACCCTTGAAATTCGTATGGCTTGGATGGAGAAAAGATTGATGGGTAATGTTGGTTGAGTTCATGGGTTGTTGCTGGGTTTGGGGAGCTTTTGAGTTTTTTAAGCTCCTTTTCTTTATTTTTAGTTGTTTGTTTGTGTCGGTTGGGCTTTGTTTTTTTTGGCTTCTGGTGGCTTGGTATGGGGTTTTCTGCAAGTCTTTTGCTTTCTTGTTTTGTTGGTACTGGTCTGTTAGTTGGTTGTTTTGTTGTACTCTTTTTTTATGGTTTATAAAATTTGCCTGGTTTCTGTTAAAAAAAAAACACGAAATGGACCAAATATGGACCATTAAGACGCATTCTACCTCGACTGCTCCTATTAATTTCTGATTAGACTAATTTTGACCCATTTAGCACCATTATAACTCAATTAGACTCAAAATGGAAGAATAAGCCGATTATACCCTTTAAGGACTGATCAAACTAAATATTATCCAATTAGTGTTATTTTGACCCAATTAGACTCCTTATAAAGAACAACTAGTTAGACTAACTATGACCATGGAGGGATTAGGGTTTTCTCTCTAGGGTTTGAGCTAACGACGATGGTGAAGATGATGATTACGTTCGTTTGTTGTTGATGTTTGTGGCTCGCTTCCTTCTCGTTTTGTCTTGCTTGGCGTGGATTTCCGGTTTGGTTTTGGTTGTTCACGGTTTGCTTGGTTTTCTAATCCACTTGGCTTTCTTTTTGCGGATTAGGGTTTTGTTAGGAAACGGCGGCTGTTCTTGGTTTTCGTTTCTTCTTGAAGGCTTGTATCCGTTTGGTTTGGATTGCTTTCGATCTTGGTTGGAGGAGAATTGAGATCGTTTTCGTTTGGAGGTGCTATCTTATTGTTTGATCCCGTCTTCTTCCTCAAAGGCCGATTAGGGTTTCTTGGTTTTGGAGGAGGCGGCATTTGGTTTCTTCATTACGGTTTGTTTTCTGGTTGGTTGTTTCTCGTTTGTGTGGTTGAATTTGATTGCTTTCCCCATCCATTGGTGTTCCGTGTGGTTTTCAACACTATCGACCTCTCTTTGGCCGTACGTTGACCCTACGGTTTGCTGATTCGTTTGGGAAGGAGTGATTGATCGTTGGTTATTGCGTAAAGGGTTTTGTTTTGTTTGTTTGAGGTTGTTGCTATCGGTTTTCTAATCCAGGGTTAGGGGTGTTTTGGTGCTCCTTGGCTAGGGTTTGCATGCACCTAGAATTACACGCCAAGGGTCTGCATGCTTTAGTGTGTTTGGCGGGCTGCTTGGTTCTTTTGCTTTAGTGCATCTCTGTGCTTTTTGCTTTGCTGCTGTTTGTTGGTGATTTTCTTGTAGGTGTCAATATTTAGTTTATTTTCCTGCATCAAGTGTTTCTGTGGTCTTCGTCTCCTTTGTTAAGCTTCTTGGTAGAGTATTCAGCACCTTTTTATAAGGTCTTCGTCTACTGTATTAAGACTGCTTGGCTAGGGATTCAGCACCACGGCTTCTAGATTAGGCTTATAGTAAACTAGGTATTCGTGCCTGTTGTCGGAGGATGCGTGACTTTGCGGATATTATCTTGGAGGATGTTGCTCCCCAGGATTTTGCTGTCACAATCTTGGGAGTGAGGGATCCTAGCCCTCCTTTCCATGAGGAACCACTGTTTAAGGCTGCAGTGCCTGCGGAATCAACCCCGAGGGTTTCGGTATGGGAACGTCTTTCTCCGGCGGTTAGGGGTGATCTTGGTGTGGTACCTAACAAATCCTTTGCAGATATTGTGGGTGGTTCTTCTTCGTTTGAGCTTACTTATTTCCCGGTTGAGAAAAGTATGAAACCGCGGATCTGTTTTCCCTTGGATGTTACAAAAGGTATGGCTAAATCGTTTCAATCGGTTCTKTATGGTTATTTTCTTGGTCCCCGTCTTCCTTTCCCCATTGTTTTACGTGCGGTTCAGAATGCTTGGGGAAATTTTGGTCTCATTGATGCTATGGTAAATGATATGGGGTATTTCTTTTTTCGGTTTAATGATGAGGGYGGGTGTAACCAAGTTATTGAAAAGTCTCCCCTTATGATTAGAGAGGGAGGCCGCTGTTTGTCTCTTTCTGGGAACCCTCAAAGGGCCTAAAGAAGCCTGAGCACAATTCTTGCCCGTTGTGGGTAAAGTTTTGTAATATCCCTCTTGTTGCTTTCAATAAGGAGGGTATCAGTCGTATTGCTAGTGCCATAGGCGTCCCTTTGCGTTTAGATGCTTGCACGACATCCACTTGTGATAGAGCTTGGGGTCGCACTAATTTTGCAAAAGTGTTGGTGGATGTGTGGGATGTGGGTGAAATGCAGAGAAATATTGAAGTGGTTATTCCCAGGCTTTCAGGTACTAGAGAGGATATCATCAATATTGTTCTGGAATATGATTGGGTTCCCTCCCAGTGTTCAATGTGTAAAGTGTTTGGTCATCGTACGGCGTCATGTCTGAAAGGGGATATTGCAAAGCCAAGGGTTTCTGAAACAGTCACGGATAAAAGGGGGTTTACAGAGATCAGGCGGAAACAATGGGGGAAAAAGGATACATCAGGCCGTACAGATTTTCAGGCGACATCATCTGGAGCGGTCACAGGTACACATGATACTTTAACTGGGGTTGGTGTTCTAAAAAGGGTTCAGGAGGGTTCCAAACCCTCGGGGAAAGATACAAATGTCAAACATGTTTCAAGTTCTGGGGATTCTACGAATTTGGAGGGGAAGGATAATGGAAAAGTGGACGGACAATTCTGTACGGTGAATGCGGGACGTACACCAAGAGGGAGAGAGGATGTCTCCAATGTTCAAATCTTATCGAAAGGCAATCCGGAGTTAGTGCAAAAGGAGGTGCAAGTTTTTAAACCAAGGAGGGGTAAAGTTCTCGATCTGAAAACTAGCAATCGATTTTCTTCTCTTTCTGACGAGTCTAGTGATGATGACGAAATGGAGATCATTGATACGGAGGAGCATTTAAAGACCAAACGAGGAGCGGATGATCCACCTTCTTTGTCTCAATGATAAAGTTGGCTGCTTGGAATGTTAGGGGATTAAATGGCCTTATTAAACGAAAGGAGGTACATGATTTCATTACTCTCAAACATCTTTCTTTATGTTGCATCATTGAGTCCAAAGTTGTTTACAATCACTTGGGGGATGTGTGTAGTAGTGTCTTTGGTAATTCGAATTGGATTTCAAATGGTTCGGTCAGTGATCAAGGCACTCGCCTAATTATTGCTTGGGACCCGTCGGTTTTATCTGTCCTTATGATTGAGCAGCATCAACAATATGTACATTGTGAAGTTCGAATTTTTGGTCAAACCGTTCTCCCTTTTTATCACTTTTGTTTATGGATGTAATACGGGTACAGAACGGCGTGAACTTTGGCGGGCTTTTGGGGAATTTCATGCCTTCAGTCAGAGGAAAGCATGGATTGCTATGGGTGACTTTAATTCGAAGCTTTTTCCTCATGATGGGTTGGGGGGTTCCTCCAGGAGGAATTATGACATGGAGGAGTTTCATATCTGTCTGGAGGAGGCTGAATTATTTGATATTTTGTATCAAGGGTGTCAATTTACTTGGATCCAGAAACCATCAGGGGGAGAGGGTGGTATGAGAAAACTTGATCGTATTTTGGGCAATTCGAATTTTATCACTAGATTTAGGGATGCTTCGGCTTTCTTTGAACCTAGGGGGATTTCTGACCATTCTCCGGGCATTCTTTCTTTCCGTGTTGGAAGACGTATTCGACAGCGTGGCTTTAAGTTTGAGAATTTTGTGACCTCTCATAAGGACTTCCTTGCTTCGGTGGAGGATGTATGGTCGAAGCCCCAGAATGGATCTTACATGAAGAGGGTTCTACGGAAATTGAAAGATCTCAAGGTGGTTTGTCGGCGTCTCCGCAATTCGTATGGCTGTTTGGATAAAAGGGTTGTTCAGCTAAAGACGGAACTTGATGTTGCACAATTGGCTTGTGATATTGACCCGTTTAATGATTTGCTAAAGGAGGACATCGCTCACCTCTTATTAGCTTATCAAGAAGCTAGGAGTAATCAGGTGGAATTGGCTCGACAAAAAGCGAAGATATCTTGGCTAAATGAAGGGGATGGTAATTCTAAATTCTTCTTTCATGCTATGAAAGAAAAGCGCAATCGGAATCATATAGCCATGATCAGGGATTCGGCTGGCATAATCTATGAGCATCAGGAGGTATCTACGGCTTTCATTTCTCATTTTAAAAGGATTCTTGGTACCTCTAATATTTTGGTTCCTTCATCTATGGGGGATTGTGTGTTTCGTCATTCTTTATAATTATCGGACTCTCTTCATTTAATTCGTCCAATTTCGGATTYGGAAATAAAGGATGCTTTATTTGCTATTGGAAATGATAAAGCTCCAGGCCCTGACGGTTATTCTTCTAAATTTTTTAAGTCAGCTTGGAATGTGGTTGGGAGGGATGTGCTTATTGGGATACATAATTTCTTCTACTCTGGAAAATTGGAGTATCAGCTGAATCATACCCTTTTATGTCTTGTGCCGAAGGTCCCTAATGCTTCTTGTGTTACTGAGTTTCGGCCTATTGCTTGTTGCAATGTGTTGTTGAAGTGTATTAGTAAAGATTATTGCTGATCGGATGAAAGGTTCGCTGCATGTACTTGTTAGTAAGGCTCAATCTGCGTTCATTCCTGGGCGCCAAATCACTGATAATATCTTAATGGCTCATGAACTAGTTGCTGGGTATCAGAGATCGGAAGGAGAACCTAGATGTGCTTTCAAGATTGATATTCGTAAGGCATATGACACAGTTGAATGGAACTTTCTTTTAGAGATGCTGAAGGGAATGGGTTTTCACCCAGTCATGATAAACTGGATCAAGACTCTGATCACGACTCCCTCTTATTCTATTTGTGTAAATGGACAGCCGAAGGGTTTTTTTCATGGTAAACGGGGCCTTCGACAAGGCGATCCTCTCTCCCCTTATCTGTTCACTGTTGTTATGGAGGGTCTCTCGATGCTTCTTTTGAAGTGTATAGAGGAAGTGGTTAACTTTTCGTATCATCAAGGTTGTGCGGATATTAAATTGACTCATTTATGCTTTGCTGATGACTTGTTTATCTTTTCTAAAGGGGACCTTATTTCGGTGGAGGTTATTAAACGTGGTTTACTATTGTTTGAAGAACGATCGGGCTTATCGCCAAGTCTGGAGAAGAGTGAGGTGTTCTTCGGGAATGTTTCAATGGAGGATCAGAGCCATATTCGTGAAAGCTAATCTTTTCGGCCAGGGGTTTTCCCTATTCGTTACTTAGGCGTTCATCTTTCTCCGGTTCGTCTGAAGGTACGTGTTTTTAATCCCCTTGTGTTAAAGATTAAATCTCGTCTGTTAAATTGGAAGAACAAATTCCTCTCTTATGGAGGGCGTTGTCAGCTAATTATCTCAGTTCTCCACTCTATGCAAACATTTTGGATGTCGGTATTCCTTGTACCGGCAGCCACGATTCATGAAATTGAGAAGCTTTTTCGTAATTTTTTATGGAATAAAGCGGAGGGCCAGAGGGGTAAATGTCGAGTTGCTTGGGATTCTATTTGCTTGCCTGTTCAGAGTGGGGGACTTGGTTTGAAAAGACTTGCGACCTGGAATAGGTGTCTTCTTTTCAAACATATTTGGGACATTTTAATGGAAAGAAATACGATGTGGGTCTCTTGGATTCACTCTCACTGTGTTCGGGGCCGTAACTTTTGGGTCATCAAGAAGAGGAATGAGTGGTCATGGATCCTCCGGAGTCTTTTAGACTTAAGACCTCATTGCCGACGATTCTTTATCTATGATGTGAGTAATGGCTTATCTACGCATGCTCTGGAAGATACATGGAGCGAGTTGGGACCACTTATTCATTCTTTGTCTTATAGATTTATCAATCGGCAGGGTTTCCACAATAATTCCACGGTATATGATGTAATGCACAGGTTTGGTTCTAATTGGCCGGAGGATTGGCTGCAACAATATCCTCAACTGCAAAATGTTCTTATTCCATCTCCCAGTCAAGTGGAGGATAAAGTACGATGGCTTGATAATAAAGGTGGTCGGGGTGATTTTCAGGTAAAAGTGGCTTGGAAGACTATACAAGAGGTGAATCCGGTTGTGCATTGGTATAAACTAGTTTGGAATAAAGCTTTCATTCCAAAACATGCTCTTTGTATGTGGATGGCTTGCCAGAAGAAATTGCCAACCCAAAATCGTATAAGCCAGTGGAAGCATGAACCACCGGATTTAAAGTGTGTGTTCTGTAAATTAGTGATTAAAACGCACAATCACTTATTTTTTGAATGCACTTA